GAACCTTTTGTGCTTTTGCTGTTGGAAATGCATCAATTAGACTATCAAAATTTCAGTTATTAAGTACGTCTTTTTCAATACTTAATATTGCCAAGTTACTAAGTCATTCTTGAGTCATTGAGGTTCTCAAGTATGTAAAAATTAATGTCAGCTTGCTGAAGGACCTTTCACAACTAGCAATAGAAACCCCAATTGTTAACAAAATCTGCAATGCAATTCTTAAATTTGTGAAAACATCTTCACCATATGAAATTATAAATGTTAACAAATCAGTTGTAACCATTGGTTCAGGAAAATCGGTCTGTGTTCTTTTACTTATCAAGATTCTACTGTCTTTAATTTCTCTGTACAACTCTGGTCCATCAATAATTCCTGGATAGCTCTTTGCTAAGTAAGAACATTTTTCTTGCAATTTTCCATCTTTGAAATCTTCAGAAACAATATTTTGCACATTAGTAGAAATCCAAACCATGAATCTAAATCTAGAAAGCGAGAAAATCTTCTTGTTATTTCTGTAATCAAGCGATCAATAACATCCTTCATGATGCGATAAATTTCCTGTTCAGCAGTCAATCCAGCATCAGCTGCATTTTTACCTGGCATTCGTTTTTGATGTATTTTTCTTCTTTCAATGGTCAATCCCCATGTTTCACATTGATTCTTGTCCACTTTAAGTGCTTCTTGACAGGGATTTTCATGTGATTCTGTCAAAGAATCAAGATCAGCAGCTGCTTCTCAAAATTCATTTTTGGGTCCTGAAGACGTTTCTGCACTCGATTGATAGATGATAGAAGATTTCTCCAAAAATGCAAAAGTAGAAGAAAATCAAATGTAAGCATGAGTTGCAGAATATTATGAGCACCACATTTTGTTTCAACCGTGTTGCCATTCTCACTTAATTGCTCTAACAGTCCTAGCAGTTCATCCATGTACAACTTTTACTGCCTTTTCTCTTGCACTCCACCGTGTTTCACGCTTGACGGAGATTGTCCCATTGAATTGTTGAATGAGCAAAGAAATTATAAATGGCTTCAATTACACCAAAAAGGTAATAACTGTTGTTTCCTGACTTGCAGCATGAAGACATGCTAAGTTCAAACTATGGTTGTCACAGTTTATAAACACTGCTTTTGAATTTTTGTTCAGAATTCTTTGGTGAACGCCTGACAGATGACCTCACATGACAGCAGCATTATCATAACATTGTGAACAACATTCACTCAATAAAATTCCATCCACTTCTAATTTGTGCTTATTGTTTTCTCAATATTAGCAGTGTCTTTTTCCTTTATCTGTATAAAGTCAATAAATGACTCTTCGACTTCTACTTTTCTTGTCCTAAAGTCAATGTTAACAAACTGAATCACTTAGGCCAATTGCTCACAATGGCTAAATCAGGTGTGGAATCAAACAGAATACCATAGTATTTGTTTCTACGAATTGCTGACAAACAATGATTTCACACATGTGAAGCCATAAGATTTATAAACTCATTTTGGATTTCAGGAGAAAGATAATATGTTGACGTTTGCTTGTTTTTAACATGCTCTAAATGCTCTCTCATTACTGGATCATACTTTGCTAATAACTGCAAAAGCGATAGGAAATTTCCAGGGTTTTTGTTTGAGGTTATGTCCTCAGTATGACTCATGATGACTGTCATTATTTTTATGGGCATTTAACTTTTCAATTTTTTTTCCACTTAGAGAATCCACCCTGTATTTTGAAAGCAGACCGACTATCAGATGTCATACATGTAGATGAAAACA